ATTCGGACGTTACGGATATGCTGCTAGCAAAGGACAACAAGATAGAGACTGAGAAGTGTGGCTGCATGAGCATTGGGGGACGGAGGCTGTTAAAAGGCACTCACAGACTCAGACTCAACACGTTGTATGAGGGTATACGATGTGGACGCGATATGCCGCTCAGGCGCCCTGGCGACTGCCCGGAGTTTCACTCGCCGTGCCTTCCTGCTGGTCCTTTTTGACAGCAGGCCTCCTCGGCTTCCGGTGACCCACTGCCGAGCGGGTGCGTGGCGCCTTGTCTTGCCCGCGTCTCTTCGGGGCAGGGTCGTACCTGCACTCGGCTCCAGTGTGGGCCGCCTTCACGCAGTTGTGGCATGCGGGCTTGGCCCCGTCGCAGCGAAGCTTGCGAACGCGGCTGTAGTGACCGAGCGCAGAAGGTCAGCTCATGGATCCAAGAGAGAATTTACGAACGCGGATGGACGTACCAGCGATCACATGCGACAAAGACACGCTCGCGGGGCCTGCCTTCGACGGTCAAAGGCTGGCTGGGGTGAAGCGCAATCTTGTGCTTTCCTCTAGTACTGCCCTCGACGCTCTCGGACTCCGTGTAAGACGGCGAGGAGCCCCCGTCGGACCCGCCGTAGTCGTCGTAGTTGCCGTACGCCTCCTGAGGCATGGCGGGAGGGGAGAACATGGCGGTTTGCGGGTAGCCCATAGGCATTTGCGGGTATCCCGTGGCGGTGGAGGAGGAACCCTGCTGGAACTGCTGCGCGCCGGGTTGGACGTAGTATGGCGCCACGCCCGGCAGCCATTGTCCGGATGCAAAATCGTAGTACGCCCCCTCAGGGCCACTCGGGGCGTGTCCGGAGAGGGAGTCGAGCCAGCGAAGCACGTCATCGGGTGAGTGCTGTTGTTGAGAGCCCGGAGTCTGTGTCGATTGGTCGGTGTGCCGGTGGTCCATTGCGTCGTACAGGTACTCGAGGAACGCTGGTGGCTGTCTGTAGTACGTCGCCATTGTCTGAAAGTTCTGCATATATACGCAGTGAGCTATGTGTCGCGCAGCGTATATCTGTGTCTTGCACTTGCCATTGTTTCCGCTGAGGAGCTCAGACAAATCCGGGTGGGGTACAGGCCTGCGATCGGGTGTTGGCTGGGATAGCGTAAATATGATGGCAGCCCTCGAGGGCCTCCGGCCGTCCATCGTATTGCCATGCTGTGAACTTCTCCGTGCGGACGGCTGATGATTGTATCCAGACGGGAAAATCGATGCAGGGGAAGCCTCGCGTGCTCGCGTCCTGGCCATCAGTCATTTGAGAAATCAACCAAGTTGTGAATAACCTTATTCTGGACTTTGCATGATGCAGCACTGCTGACGCCGCCGCTTCACAAGCGCGCCTCACATAGACAACATGTAGACACCTAGAAAGCAAAACGACAATTAATCAAACAAATGGCGGTATCCGTGATGTTTAGGGCCAAGGGCTGTACACGACCACTTACACACATGACCAGGGAGGCTCTCGTGCAGTGGGTAGCTGCGTGGAGGTCCGAAGGCGGGAATCCTCCCACCATAGAGCTGGAAGAGAGCACGAGATCGCAGTAATTCGTGTGGAAGAAGGAGGGGTGTTGTTCGGCGAATAAGGTCCCTATGATGCATCAAGGAGCTTGAAACGCGAGCGTAAGAGCAACGGCTAGTCCTAGTGAAAAGTTCGTGTTCTCGGTGCTAGTCATGCCGGACGAGTCGGATTTTGGAAGCCTCCTTTCGTACCTCATGGGTCGCGGACACCAAAAACAAGAATACGACGCACGCATGCACGTCAACTAAACGGGGCGATGCACTGACAGCATGTATATGGACCTGACGCACCATGGTACCTGGCACTGACCCTTACAGTGCCTTACTCAATCTTCATCCAAATACCGAGCCCGCATTCAGCCGTATTAGGGGAATGCTGCGCAGATGCTGCCACGGACGAGACATGTCGTCCTGACCGCAACGACCTGATCCCAGTCTGGTACGGGTCACAGAAACATGTTCGGCCACACTTCTATCTTCGAGTGATGCTTATGGTGCGCCGCGTAGTTAGTCTGTAGGGAGAAGCTGACGGCAAAGGTTGGCAACGCTGCGATTGGCGTGGCGACGAGTTTGAGAGGACAAGGAACATACCGGGGGGTAGTCAACCGCGTCCAAGTTGTCCGACGTCAAGCTACAAAGCAACTGGCTTGATCGGCTAGCGTATGGTTTACGGTGTTACCGCGCACATCTCCGGATGACCATACTCGCTGATAACTTTGCCCTAGGCCCTATGTTTATTGCATCCGTTGGGCGGCATAAGAGGCCGAGCCACAGGCATCTTCACCAACCAACCACGTCCTTAGAACGCGTGACGTCACACCTCCACATTAGGGCAGTAACAGCGACGAAAGAAGCGCTTGTGGCAGTGACACTGCGGTCACCACTTGCACTCCGGCCACCACCACGCCTTAGCCTCTTTTCCTCCGCCACAGTGTACTTACTCGGCTTTCCCATACCCGGATCTGGCTTTCATCTCCCCGGGGCGCATGCATATGCGAGAGCACACCGGTACTTGGTCAAAAATGGTCGTCGTTGTTTAGTAGCATCGGAGGCTCGCTACTACGGCCAACCGGCGGGGTATCCAGGCAGCGAGGTAGCTCAACGTGCTATTGACTATGCGTTGGGAAAGATCTGCATCATATATCAAAACCATGTCCACCACATCATGACAATCCACCGCAGCTCTATTCAATATATCCAGTTATCGCTTTCGACCTCCGAAATGCCCGGACACTGAGCGCATCCCAGTACGCTGTAGCTGCTACACCGAACGTTTCATGGTTGCAACTACATCCTCGAACGTTATGAAGTTGATTAGAAGGGTCAACACTAGTCGACCTCCAGGCGTATGACAGCCGATATCTTTAGATAGTGAGTCCCTCTAAGGACTTGCTTTAACAAATACCAGTGATTGGGACAGATACAGACGTAGGTATTTCAAACGCGGGCACGAGGCTGTCCTGATATTCTCATGCAGGACTGGCTTGGTTTGAGCTGGCCGACCAACGAGAACAGTAAGCCGGATACAGACGTGTCCTCAACCACAACAAGGTGCTGACAATCTAGATACAAATATTCTTCTTAGCTGCGATGAGGTCCGCAAATCATGCATACGGCGAGTTAGTATCGGGACGTGGTGATGAAGCCCTGACTACAACCATATGTATGCTAGGATACCACGTCTAAAGCCCGTTCTCACTGCGCCGCAACCCAGATCACAAACGATGTTTGCAACTCAACAATGTTCAAGGATCGTATATATACATACAGTGGCTATGCCGACGGTCTCGAGACACGCACGCAGTCAATGGGTCGATGTCGACGAAACATTCGAACCGCTTGGGCCGCACTGCCAGGGTCACCGTTCTCACAAGGTGGTGTGTACTTCTTTACTCGCGTGTGTCTCCGGTGTAAGTGCACTGCCGAATGCGATGCTTCAGTATGCTTACTTACCCCACATTGTCCTAACTCGTGTGTAGATTCCAGATCTCTGCTGTGTGGCCTCATCCACTCATCAAAATCCATTCCGGGATCCCCGGTAAACGGTAGAGCGGTTCGGCCGATTACAATCGCGATCGGCAACCACGAACAGTGGATAACACGAGGATGACTGACATGGTACGACCTGCTTCTGCAAACCTTCAGTGATTGTAGATTGCACGCTCGCGCGGGTCACCCGGCCTGATATCCGTACGTGTCCTTTGTCACTGTAAATCTGTAACAAATAGGGTGCTGATACGCACGCAGCTCTGGTTCTCGGCGAAGTTGAAGCTGTTGTGTTGTGAGTAGCAGCGGGGGAGCCTCGCGATGGGATCTTACGTAGCCCCTCGTAAGCATCAAGAAAAAAAGCTATCATCACAAGCCTGAGAACCGGCCCCGAAGAAGCCGCGAACTCCTGACTCCGGTGTACGGCCTCGCGCAGTGCTCTGGGACTCGGTGGTATTTGGCTCGTCCGCGTGGTCGAGCTACGCTCCGCATGCTAACGCGGCTCCTGTCCAAGCGTGTTACGCACTTCTCGCTATGTTTCCGCCGGCGGATCGGATGGAAAATCTTCCATTTGTTCGCAGGGGATTGACATAGCCCGAGCAGCTACGGAAGTGAACGCCTAGCTCCAGAGCCGTCCACGGTCTCGAGCTGTCGGCTCACCTATGTCACATTGTGCGCTTGTCGCGATACACACAGAAGCAACTGCTTCAAACCCGGGGACCGTACGGTGAAACTCAAGACAAATCGACAATTGCCAACGGTGCGTCTCTCACATGTGGTTCATACTGATCACGTTTTGTGGTTTGCAACTTCCGTGTTACTCTGCGGGGAGCACAGGTATGACGTCTTTGCAGAGCTGCGAGCACACATGGAACAGTCCGTTCAAGCGGTCATTACAACGTATACATGCATTCGTGCATACAATGATACATCCACGAAGTGCAGAGCGGCCGCTCCGACGAAGCACGGGACATCCCTTCTGCCTTGGTGAACAGGCTTTATTCGACAATCGACAGTGCGATGCTTCCTTCGCGGGTAGTCAGGGTCGGGTCAGTGTCCTCTCAAAGCAACCCAGTGCTTCAAGTTGAAGCTGATCAGGCCACTGAAGGGAGCTGTTGTTTTTTGGTAAGTGGCTCCGAGGGAATGTCGGACACTTGCTTAGCCTCAGTTGAGCGAACTAGCCTAGGTATCCGCACTCGCGGCGTATTGCGAACCACCGGTGGTTGCAGCACTCCATGGTGACTTGTAGATAGTAAGCTGAACCCCCCTTCACTTGGTCTTGATCACCCAACGCATAGTTCTTCAGTCTGACCCACGCTCTGAGGATTTTTTTGTAGGTGTCGCATCCGCCCACTGCTCCCCGGGGTTTGTGGTACACATTCATCGTATGCCTAAGGTAGACAAGGGGCAAACGGTTTCCGAAGCTCGATTTGAATGCATGCAAGCAGCAAGTGACAGAGCCCGCCTAGCTCAATCGGATAGAGCGTCAGACTCTTACTTGACTAGGACGAGGGCATCTGAAGGCTGCGAGTTCGACCCTCGCGGTGGGCTAGCTGTTTTTGCCAAGCTACTCAATCTTTTGCCCTCTCAGAGCCTCGGTGCAACGCCCTATTTGCTCCGAATGACGGATGCGGTTCTCGTCATCTCCCACCGAGGATGGATGATACACACGATAATACTGCACGTTCACCCTTGGTCTATTTTTATCACGCATGGTTATAACTTGTTCTCGCGCGTCGCGTCTGAGTTCGTCTGAGCTCGCACGACTCCTTGAATCTCTCCTTATTCCGATTAGTTGTACTCTTCGGTCAACATGAGTTGCGACGAATGCTTCAAGGGTAAGTGAAGATCGAAGTCTGCACGTTTTTCAAGTGTTCGAGCTAATAACATATCACAGGTGTCCGCCATGAGGGCCAACCCGAAGGCGAGTACATGGGTCCTCTGCGCGATAGCAGCCTCGATATCTGACTGCTATGACATCCAGGGAAGATCGAGCAAATCGGCGGCATCGAGTGCTACGTCGCCACGCCGGCGGGAGAATACAACAAGAGCAAGGTCGTGCTCTTCCTCACGGATGTCTTCGGAATACCGCTCGTGAACAACCAGGTAGGACAGATCCCGCAGCTCGTCACCACCGTCCGGCACCGCCGCCGAACGATCTCACACGTACACTGCAGCTGCTCGCGGATGATTTCGCGCGCAACGGTTTCCGCACCGTCATGCCAGACCTGTTCAACGGCGACGCGCGGTCTGCGGACTCGATGGGCAACCAGAACTTCGACCGCGCGGCCTGGATGGCCAAACATGGGCCCGACTCTTGGAAGCCTATCGTGGACGCCGTCGTCGACGCACTCCAGGCGGATGGAGTGACTTGGATCGGTACCACGGGGTACTGCTTCGGGGCACCGCCTGCTTGGTACCTTGCGCTGAAGGGAGTGAGCAAAGTCACTGTCGTCTCCCACCCATCGCGGCTCCGCATTCCAGAGGACCTCAAGGTATGCCAAGTCTCGCTGTACTCCTATCGCGATGGTTCGTGGACACTGAACTGCGTCATCAGGAATACCGTGACACGGTGAAAGCACCGCTGCTCATCAACAGCTGCGAGAATGATCCGACGTTCCCGCAAGATGCACAGGCAAAGGCCGACGAGCTCCTTGGCGGAGGCAAGTTCGCGCCTGGATACGAGAGGACGTATTGGGACGGCTGCACGCACGGGTTTGCGGTGCGGGGTGATCTGGTAAGACGATGAGTACATCGTATTGGTGTGCTGTGCGGTGACTCATGCATCGGCCGCTTTCCACAGAGCAACCCCAAGATCAAGGCTGGGAAGGAGGGCGCTTTCGAGGCGACTGTGAAGTTCTTCAAAAAGTATCAAGACTTGTAGACCACTATGGGAATATGACTGCGCGAGTGTGTACGATACCGAGGTGTCCATCAATGGAATTTGTCTCAAGATCACAGGCACGGGTTCCGCCGAAGGTGCGGGGCGACCTCGATCGGAGCGAGTTCAGATTCGTTGTGGAAACATCCATAGCCACAGGATTTGCCCTGTATAGCTGGTCCTATAGATTCACGCTGTCGAAGCGCAGTCGGCAACTGACTTGGACATTGATTAATGGAGTCCGGGGAGACCTGTGATACTTCGAGGAGTACAGCAAGTTCACAAAGGCGCGAAAGCGTGAGCACATATTGCGAGCCCGGTACCGGAACGATTGGCTAAGAGGTAGGCTCGTCAGGACCAGGGCACCGCGTTTTTCACAGCAGCACTGGTGGCCATCGCTTTACAGCTCAGGAGTACGGGAGTGCGCCATCAACATCAGGTCTACGTGCATGTCATGATGTCAATTTGACCTGCACACAAACCGGTTATGTCTGATGGGATGCGTTACCACAAGGCCCTCGTACGGCAAGTGTGAGCACGACATGTCCCGCGACGCACCTCGGAATCGTGTGCTATGTCCGCAGCATAGCCCATCAATTGACCTGGCCGCATCAGTGCAGCCTAGGCCATAGCAATCCCCAGCGATTCTGGAGCATACACCGTTCCATGGCTGTGGAACATGATATGATAAGTCGGGTGGCGGCACGTATGATACGTTTCCCTGAGCAGGTGACATTAGGAGATAGATACAATATGCTGTAAGGGAAGGGGCGGGATTAGCGAGACAGCGACATACGGTAAGCGGTGTGCAAGTACGTACAGAGGATTGGGAGTGACACTGACTTCGCCACCCCGTCTATGCAGTCTCCGCAGGTGTCTTGACCCTGTCCCCCCGAATGCGAGCCTTGACATCTTCGATAGCTTGCTCCCTCTCTGCCCGACGCTCGGCGATGAGACGAAGGATGTTGCCTCTGTTCGCCGTGATCCCTGTCCGCCATTTCCAGCCCTTGCCATCGCTGCCTCGCGTTACCCGCAGGAAGTAGCTCTGCCTGTCTGCCTCCCTCTTGCCCACCAAGAAATGCTGCTCCAACCACTTCCTCCGGGCTTCACGCTCTTCCTTCGGCATATCTTCTTCCATTTGCGGGTAGTAGAAAGGTTCCACAAGACCAACCACCGCACGCTTGTAAGTCCTGTCCGAAATCGTGGTAGCGGCCCGCAAGCGCGACTTGATGACAGGTGACTGGTAGTTGTCGGTACGGATGTAGGTCGTCTGGACACCGTACACCGCTAGGAGGTAGGAACGGATGTCGGTCTTTGTGACTGACTGGGGCACACGGAACGTGGCCTCGTAGGGATTATATGGCTGTCCTGGAGGGGTGTAGTTCCGGACCATCTTGAAGATGATGTTGGGAAGGTAGATCTTTTGACCGACGACCTCTGTCTCCTTCTCGCCGTCCCTCACGACCTGTCGGACACCGCGCACCCGGGTCCGCCGCGAGTCCAGCTTCTCCAGCCATTGCGCCTCCGTCAGGTTAGAGCCATCGTCCTGCAGCAGCTCGCCCTTGGCGAGAGCACGTTGATACCGGGCGAATTCGCTCGGGGTGAGGCCTTCAGGTGTCGCGTCAGACTCCAGCGGTTCCACGTCAAGGCCTTGCTCAGCACGGCGGATCCTGACTGCCTTGGGAGTTGACGCTGTACGCGCTGCAGCCGCTGCGTCGGGGAGCGTCGCGTATAGGCGACGGAGAGTAGCAAACATCGAGAGCGAGAGCGGAGGCGTTGGCAGTCTGCGGCGAGTCTCGCGCTCACACTCAGTCTGGCCTCGCTGAAAACTCGGGCGTGGGAGGCAACTGCCTGTTTGGACATGCTGACCCTAACATAGGGCTTAGTACGCCGCTTAGATCGTCATGGGCGCTTCTCAATATCTCATCTCGCGCAAGCCTTAGGTTACGGTACTCTCTTCTTGACCAAGTACTTCAACCTGCTCTGCGTCGCAATAATACTCCGTATCTTTACCACATCTTCTCCCGTTAGACGGGCTCCTTCTCTAAGTCACCCGGCTCGGATCTCCCATCGAGGCTTCTCATACATTCGTCAAATGTCTGCACACGATTCGCAACAGTCTCCAAGTCAGAGGACTAGTGATGAAAAGCGAAACGCGCACCGAGGAGGTCCCTCTGGAAGAGGCAGGGGAAGCAGCGGACGAGGAGGCTCCGCGAAGTTGCGAGGCCTTCCGAAGGACTCTCATGAAGTCCGCATCTCAAAGACGCTTTCCTGGATCCTCCGCCACGGCTCGCAGTCCGAGGGGCTCGCTATGCGTCCGGATGGATATGTCCGAGTGAACGATCTTGTATGTTGACATGAATCTGCTGGACCCAAAGTTGCTGATGCTTGTGAAGTAGCTGCAGCGACCGAAGCTGCGCGAATTGTCATTCGATGCCTTGCAAGAGATCGTCAAGAGTGACGCGAAGAACCGATACAGTCTTGTGTTAGAGGCTGATCCCAAAACCGGGGAAGAGGCCTGGTGGATTCGAGCCAATCAAGGACACTCTATGAAGGTCAGTTGTAGTGAGGCCGCAACGCAGCGATAGAATTTGACCGTGTACAATACCAGAGTGTAGTTCTAGACTATGAGCCCATCAAGTCTATCTCAGACATCCCGACCGGCATAGCAGTGCACGGGACGAACAAACGCGCCTGGGAGAGCATCAGTGAGTTGCTCCTTGCATGTAATCATGTCGTACTCAACCACAGCGTTTGCAGAGGAGCAAGGCCTCAGCAAAATGACTCGCAATCACATCCACCTCGCTCAAGGTGTAGCCGGTTCCGGCGTCATCAGCGGTAAGGATGATATACTCAGACTTGGGTGGTGGCCAGCGCTGAAATCTGTGCAGGGATGCGCAGTTCGTCCCAAATCCTGATCTTCGTAGACGTACAGAAGGCCCTCGACGCCGGCATCAAGTTCTATATCTCCGCAAATGGAGTTGTACTTACGGACGGGGACGAGCGCGGATTCTTGGACCCGCGGTTCTTTTCCCGCGTAGAGACCGCTGACGGCAAGCCGCTACAGGGGTGGGATGGTCCACGGACTTCTCTGCAGGATCCGCCAGCGCAGCGCTCCGTCGCAGCAAGCACACCTGGGCCCAGCCCGAACACGGCCAGCGTTGGCGTCGGGCCTTCAAAGCAGGAGGAGGGTGTACAGACGTCGGCGTCAACAGCGATAGGCGTGGGAGTACAGGCCTTGGAGAAGAAGATGGAGAATACCACCTTGTAAGCATAGCAGCGGTGTGGAAAGATAGATTACCGGCTTGGACTCCCCGATACTCATCCGCTGGGAATTGTTGGCCTTTAAAGCTACCCACCTACCGATATAGCTGGGACAGGACGTCAACGGACCCGTTGTAAGTCACATACAAGCATGTATACCTCGGCATTCCACATCTCTACGGAATGCCGCGGGGACAGAGTGGGTCGGAAGCCTGGGGCTCCGATCCCAAGGGTGCTTCTTTGCTCTGGAGAGCATGGGTAAGGAAGTGTCTACTTGCCTTGAATGACATCCCTGAAGGCTTTGGGAGGGGATCATCAGGTACTAGAGGAAGACTGGTCCCGACAACCTTCCATGCAGGCACGACCAGCGTTAGGGTGCTGCATATTTAGATGCTTCACTAATTAT